ATGAGTTTAGGAACATATGAGGCCCGAGATAAAGACAACCGATCATTGTTGATAGTACCCGTACCTACAATGGCCATACGAGAACCATCGGCTACATGCAGAGGAATACCAGTATGCGGCCGAAGAGAAGTAAAAACCGACCTATCACTATACATATGGTTCACAGTAGCAGAATCAAGGTGCCACATAGTAGAAGACGAAGATACCATACCGGTAAAGAAGACATCAGTCAAAGTTCAAGGTAGAGATTCCTAAAGAGCTTCATGAACCAGACGATGAATCTCCTCAAAAGACACCCCAGCAGAGCACGACGAGCTACTATAGGCAGTGGATGGCACATCAAGGGTATTGGCATAAACTGCATTTGAGGGAGCAGGAGGAGCGATAGGACGAGACCCACCAGCTGGCTAAGAGTAACTTGGGCGGCCACCGTGACCCCTGCCATGTTGGGAAAGTATCGGACAATCAATGACGTGGCCCACTGCCTTGTAGTAATTACACACAATGAGCTTAGGACAACGTATCTGAACATGGTCCGGCTCCTTGCAGTGATAACATATAATCTCCCCAGAGGGCGTACGACCAAACTGAGGACGGCCAATCTGAACCACAAACACCGTACCACAATCTGAAGAGTGGACATCAAGACGAGCTTGAGTACGAAGACGAGTTTCCTCACGGATCAACTCTCCCAAGATCTCATCGAGCGACCCCACATTACGTTGGAGAATAGACAAACGTACCGCCTCGAAGGCAAGCTTAAGTAGAATAAGAAAACCCATCAGACGAGAACTCGCCCATTCTTTGAGAACTTCAGCCAAGGCCTCAGCAGAGACCAGTGACGTGGTCAGCATATCCTGCTTAGCCCAGAGATTAAGAGCAGCCTGATAGTAGGAACGAATATCAAGCTCCCCTTGCTATAGAGAGGCAATCGCGGTCTCAAGCTCAAACTTCCTCGAGATATCAGCTTGAGAATTAACATCATGCAAGTGGTTCCACAGAGCATGAGCACTACGAAAAGCCCTAAGACTAAGAGAAATCGCTAGATCAATAACCTGAGCATTCTCAATTGCCCAGTCGACCTTAGTCTTGGCGGACGCATCCGCCCCAGGCTCATGAGAGGTGCCATCGAGAATAGGAAGCAACCGACGCCCCTGAACAAAGACACGAAATTGCAATTCCCAAAGTGGTAAATTCTTCCCAGTAAACCGAACCAAACGAACATCCATCTTCGCACCCTCCATAATAATCAATATAGCAGAAACCAACCAGAACTTCGGCAAGCACAAACACACAAAGCAAGCCGCCAGCAAACAGGAAAATAGCAAAATATATGTACATATATTACAAAATGGTACCCGAGGAATCACTTCCAACAAACATTACTTTCGAGGCTGACTAAAAAGCAGAGAGGCTGTTCCATTTATAACTTGAAATTAGAAACACAGTTCTGCCCTGCGCTTTGTTTTCGAAGAAATTGAAGTGATGTCTGATCATCGTACCTCCTCGTATCAACAAAACAATGTATTAATAATGATGCAAATTGCAATGCCGCATGCAGCCTGCAAGTGGGATGGATCATGGATGAATGATGATGACGAAAGTACTCGGAAATATGAAGTATTCCCTAATCCAAGTGAACCCTCCCAAAAACTTTCTCGTCTTTTGGTGCAAAATCAATAAACTAAGCTGACCTGACTGGGCGAACGGATAAGTCCTCATTATTAAACAGTATAAGTTAAACTAGTGGTCTATGACTTTATAATCTTGTCTTACGTTATCATTAGAAACCTTTTCTAAATTTATCACAACTTGATTTTTTATATATTTGTTTCACACATGGTGGCTGGCTGTTCGCCCAGCTTTATTAAATAAACTTGTCCCGACTCCTTTGCGCAAGCCGACTATTTTTCAGTTGCGGATTTAGGGCCGTCCAGGGCACGGTCTAGCCCTACTCTGTATCAGAGTTAGAATAGCACTTGTAAAGTTTTAATTTTCGGCATTCGTTAAAGTATTTGTCGTGTCGGGCTACGGTCAAGTCCAATCTGCCTCTTTTCAAAATGTGGCCCAGTGCTCTACCCAATTCTAAATCCGTCGCTGTTTTTTTTGTTTGTAAGGTGGGTGAATCGTTAAATGTTGTTCGATATCTCTATCAAATTATTCAAATCCACTTTTAGAATATTTATAATAAAATTTTTAAGAGCTTGGTTTGTTCTATTTTTAATTTTCTGCAACAAAAATAAAGTAGAAAGAGTATTTTTTTTGTCTATAATTATTATTTATTTGATATAAAAAATACTAGTACAATGATTTGAACTACGATCTATTCAAATAAAGACAATATAATTATAATCATTTACACTGGACACATTTGATGTATCTTTTTAATTCAAAACATACAAAAAGTTAAAATATGAAAAGTTTTTAATTCAAAACATACAAAAAGTTAAAATATGAAAAGTAGAGGACTTTTTTTTATCACGGATTCACGGTTAGCTAGTTCACTAAATTTCCTATAAGTACTTTATGGTACTTGATATTTCAATTTTCAATTTTAATTGGATTTAACAATTAACTTATAATTTTTTCTAACTTAAAAATGAATGATGATATTAAGATCTCAATCCAAATATCATTGGTTGAAATATAGCATAGTGAATTGAAGTGTTGAATATGAAGAAGCGATGCAAAATTCTCAAGTTAGTAATTTTAACAAGTTGGATGCAACAAATCTCATTTCCATTTACAAAAGTTATAAAGATCAATCATAAGAGTACCAGTATCATACATTTCAACAAAAACAAACAAGATAAACATTGATACCAACTATCTCAATAATTTATGCTAACACTCCGTTTGGTTAGGGGGTAAATCGTAGGGGGTGCAAGTTTTGGGTGTAAGTGCAGAAATCAAGGAGTTTGCACCTGTTTGGATATTTTTCAACAGTGATAAGGGAGTGCATTATATAGGGCTGGTAATCGGTGTTCTGGTTAACGGTATAACCGGTAACCATACCGATAACCGGCGGTAACCGGTTAAGCGTTAACCGGCAGTACCGGTTGGCGGCAGAGAAAATTCTCCATCGTTATAGCGCCTCTTAATCGGTAATTTACCGACGGGTAGCCGATTAACCGGCATACCGGAACTCACCAGTTCCAGAGGCAAAATCACAGCAAATTCCACCCCGTCCCTACCTTCACTCCCCCTGCTAGCCTCACGGGTCTCCTAGGGATGGCAAAAACATCCATAACCGTGGATATCCACCCGAATCTGGCCTAATCGGGTAGGGTAAAACCCGAACCCGAAGGACATTTAGTGGGTATGGGTAAAATCCGAAACCGAATATTGCGGGTAATGGGTGGGCATGGGTTTCTCACTATCCAACCCGAACCCGCCCGATTATACACATGCATATGTATTCTGTCTAGAAATAATCATTTTTTCTCTAACATATTTTATATTTAGCATATAAATATAATATTTTCATGAAATTGTGTTGTTTTAATTAATTTTCTTCATTCTAGTGAATTATTGTAGTACTTTTTCTTCTTACGTAATGGGAGAATACGTGTGAATGTTAACATATTGGTTATAGTTATGAAGAAAAATCATTACCCATGGATAACCGCGGATACCCGAAACCCGAACGGATATGGGCATGGTTTTAATTTTCTACACATTTCACATGTGGGTATGGATAAAACCCGAACTACTTTGGGTAGGGTAATGGATATGCACTATCCGTCCCCGACCCGACCCATTGCCATCCCTAGGGTCTCCAATCTCATCTTCTCTGTTCTAACCCATAATCCAATTCCTTTCTTCCCCATTCTTCTTCTATCATTCTCACATTCCAAAACCATAATTCAACCCATAATTTGTGGAGATAAAGGGGAAGTAAGCAAACAGTAAACCAAAATTGAAAACCCCAAAAGCGCAAACCAGAATTGCCTACATAGCACTATGCCACCACCATCTCTATCGATGAAAGAGAATCGGCCGGATTGAAGAATCGCCGCTTGAGGATTCGTCTTCGCTTCTCCGTTGCATGCATATGAAAGTGACGGCGTTGGGTTGGATTGTCCGGAGCAAGAAACCAGAACTTGGGTTTTCAGTTCAAAAATTATCGCCGCCATTCTCAAAGCGGAGATCTAAAAATCAAATAGGAGGTTCAATGACCGTTCGATTCCCTCTCTCCTTCACTTGATCTCTGGCTTGATTTGTCCTCCGCTAGATCCCGTCGACATGTTCTTATTCAATTAGTCGCCGACGAACATCATTCATTTTCCTCGCCGTCGCCGGAGAACTGTTTCAGCGGCGGTGGCAGCAACGACGGTTGAAAGCTTGCGTCCTTCGGGATCGATAGGAAAGGAGGAAGAGGGAAGCGAGGTTGTTGTTGGTGGTGTTGGTAAAGATAGGGGAGAAGCAGAGAAAAACGATGAGGGGGAAGGAATTTTGTTTCCGGGAGAAGATGAGTGAAAAGGAATTGTGGAAGACAGCTGCCTTTTTACATTTTCGGTATATTGGTGTTAACCGGTTGCTAATCGTTAACCGGTATGCTGGTTAGCCGGTTAATTGGTTTGATTTCGGTAACGGTAGTCAGAAGGAGTTTGGGACCAAACGGTATACCGATAACCGACCGATTACCAGCCCTAGCATTATATGTGTAAAACTACTATTCTAGTAAGCCCTTCAAATTGGCGCGTAAATCTGGTGAATGAAGGGAGGGTAGTAGGTGGTGGGGCCAAGGAAGAGAGAAGGGGGAAGAGATGGTACGCTGGAGAAGGGAGGGAAATAGGGATGGCAGTTCAACCCGGACCCGCGGGTACCCGACCCGACCCAACCCGGTCAAACCGGGTAAAACCCGTGTTGACTGGGTTCGGGCCGGGTTCGGGTTTAAACCCGGTGACTGTTTGGGTGGGTTGGGGCGGGTTCGGGTTTGAGGGAACCCGACCCGTGGATACCCGGACATACATCTAATCTCTAACCCTACCCCCAAATTACCCCAGGACTGTCGACTCCCCCCCACTTCCCAGAGACAAATCCCATTTTCCAGGTCCCAATTCCCATCGCCGCCACGCCAAAATCTCCGCGACCCATCTTCCTCTACGGCGATGACGGAGAAGGAGGCGGCAGATTTGTTGAAATCGGGAGAGTATGTAGCCGGGAAGAAGTAGAGGCGGATGAATTTCTGGCCGGGGTTGACTGGGAAAGAGTAGGTGAAGTTGGAGCGAGACCATCGGGCAGAGAGGTAAGGCACTTTTTCGAGCCTTGTGGAATGCTCTGTTGGTGTGGAAGAAGCCGACTCCGAACCGGGCTGGAGGAATTTCGAAGGGTTGTCGCCGTCCCAGCTCCGGTCGTCGGCTCTGTTGCTGCCGGAGGTTGTGGAACCGCAATCGACGACTATGTTGTCGATGGGAGTGTAGTCGCCGGCGGAGAGTGTGGGAGAGGGTTGTCGCAGTCACCATCGTCGCCATCCCCGAATCGTCGTCGCCATCATCGTCGCCACCATCGTCGCCATCGCCTCGTCTTCCCTCTCTGTTTCTCTCCCCTTTCACTTGTTCTTGCTTTGTTGTTGACTTGTTGTTGTTGTTGCATGTTTCGATCTGGGCAAGATCGAGACTGAGGGTGCAGATCGAAGGCGGTCACAAATCGGATGGTGAGACTGAGAAGAAAGAGGGACCAGATCAGGTGCGATTGAGATGTCGCCGCCAGTTTTAATTCTTAGTGTTGATTGAAGGTTTGCTTCCATATGGATTGGGGAAATGGGTTGTGGTGAATTGTAATTTTCCCGTTTCTGCACCTCCGCCCATCCCCTGCTCTTCCTCTGCCGAGAAACCTTCCAAGGTCCAGACTCTAAAAAAACCCACAGGTACCCGTCAACCCGCGGATACCCAGCGGGTTGGGTTGGGTTTGGATTTTTCAAACCCGGCGGGTTTTACCCCGGGTTTTTTTGACGGACAAACCCGTGGGTTTGGGTTCGGGTTTGGCAAAACCCGCCCCAACCCGACCCATTGCCATCCCTAGAGGGAAAAGGATGGTGGGACCAGGGAAAAAAGAGAAAGAAAGGTAGAGGAAATTCTGGTTTTTTATTTATTATTATTATATTTAAATTATATATTTTATATATAATTTTGCACCTTCCAACATTTTCTCTCAAACAATAATTTACACACCAATTTATGAGAAAAAAATCCCACTGTACACATGTTTTTAAAAAAAATTCTCAAAATACACATGTTATGAAAAAAATTCCCAATCTACGCATGTTTGGGCCTTCACCGCGTCAGACTAAGGCGGTGATTGCTTCACCGCGTTAAAGAAGAGCGGTGATTGCATCACCGCGTTAGAGAAAAACGGTGATTGCATCACCGCTGTAGAAAAAAACGGTGATAGCTTCACCGCATTCAACGGTCGCGGTGAAGGCCTGACCTGCGTCGAATCTTTAAAAAAAACGTAACTTTGTGCTCGGTTATCCGATCGTGGTGAAATTTTTTTTGATTCCGCATAATTTTTCGAGATCTTGCAAGCCGCAAATTTTTTGATTCCGCATAATTCCATCATCGACTAACTCCTCCCAAACCGGTAGGACAAGCATCGCCCTCAGCTTGAAATTTCACCTCGCCGCATCTTACTCTCCGGTTTAGGCATCTTGAGCGCCTCTGGCATTCAATTGAGGAAGCGTAGGTAGGACCAGAAGTCCAAAATTACTACGCAGGTTACCAAGGCGCCGTTGACGTTGGTGGGACTGATGTGAAGGACCTCAGAGAGAAGAAGAAGGTCTGTATCTAGATCTCTCGCTCACTTCCCCACTCTGCCTCCCTAACTCTAGGTTTAGGGATTTTAATTGGAATTAGGGTTGGGGGAAGGAATTAAATTATGAATTTGGGGAAATTTGACTGGCTAGGAAGAATGTGGTCTGTGCGATGGCAGCGTTGATCCGACACAAGGTGTTCCAGTCTAGGCCGAACCGACTCAGATCCATGTTCAAGGAAGAATCGTAACGATTTTGTGGCAAGATTGGGGGTTGCGATTTTTTGGGTGTCAAAGGTCTGGTTCTGTGACGTAGAAGAGGTTGGAGGAAGAAGATTATTGCAGCGGTGTCGGAGAAAGGAAGGGACGAGCTCCTGATTTCACCAGCAACGGTGGCGGACAACTAAGGAAGAAAAAGCTTAGGGAGTTGGGCTGACGAGTTGTGTATTTTATTATTATTTTTTTCTAAATTAAAATTGAAATTAAATATGTATTCATTTCTGAGGTGGATGCTTACGTGGAGGTCTGTTACGAAATAATTAATGGTAACATAATGAAAGTCCAGACATTGATCGGTTACAATACGTTTGGATAATTAATAGTAATTTGATAGATTTGGATAAAATAAAAGAATCTGAAAAATGTTTGGATAAAAAATAGACATTGCCCTAGATTTTTTAGGGAAAGTTCAACATACTCAATCAATATTTGAACTCTCTAAAGTAGTTGTCCACATAGAAATATGAAGCATTGTGCACCTAAAACTCCACTTGAGTGAGTACTTTCTTTTTTCATTCCGATTCAAAATTCAATACATGAATTATTGTAGAACACGTGTAGCATACAAATAATCTTATAAAATAGATAAATAAATACGATTAGTTATGGACCATTCTTCTGGACTTGTGCGTTGGCTTGACTAGTTGCTAAAACCCTAGTGTATAACCAAATGGTCTTTGGCCCTTATCAAATCATCCTCAACCTTCGATGAACAAGGTAATATTCATGTTGAGAAACAAACACACAATATAAAGGATTAGGGAGACACACACGTAAACATGATATTTTTTTAACTGAGTTAAGCATATTGTTTAGCGTCTCGGCTCAAAGGTGGCTTACCCTTTGATACCTAGTGTCTAGGTTTTTATCTTACTCTAATCTAACTCCAAGTTGAGTCCCTTTGGGTTATACTTGGAACCTTGACAAGAATAGAGCAATATACTCCTTTCTCTATTCCTCACAAGCACTCTCGCTAAAGAGAGAAACTACACAACCTCACAATTACTCAAGCAACACAGACATTTAACTCCTAAAACTTCCGACACATATTGCTAATCACACAGTGTTCGATCTTGCTATGTGTAGGATTGCTTTACCACATTCCATGAGGCTTGTTTTGTTGCTTCCTTCTACATATACTTCATTTGATGCAACGATCTTCTCTTGATCTTCCTTTGATTTGAGAGATTCTTTTCTCCAATTGTATTCACAAATATGACAATTAATAATATAGTTTTACCTTTTTGGAAACAAACTCCCCCTGTTTTTCTTTTCTTCAAATTAATGCTATCATTTGGAAGCGTCAAGGCTCCCTCTCAACCTATTACCTTCCTTGGTTGGAGATTGTCGATTTCCAAGATAATCATTATCCAGAGTGATAAGACTAAAGCAAATCATGAGTACAAATAAATAGAATAAAACCAAGACTAGTTTTGCATGTTCAACCATTATAAAGTAAGTAGAAAGTCCGAAAAAATTCATGAATGTTCAAACCTGCGGTTCTAAAGCAAGCAAAAAGGTTCTAAGAATTTTGAACATTTCTAAAATAGAAGGCTTGAAGAATTTTGTGGAAAAAGATATTTTTCTCTCATCGCTCAACTATTAGACCATCAATTGGAGTGATCCTCATAGTCATAGGGTGCATACTGTGGTGAGTCTAGATCGCTCATGTCCGTCAGGGAGGCTGGCTCAGTAAAGTGTGACGAATCTGGATCACTTCTGTCTGTCGAAGAGGCTAACTCACCAAAGTATGAATCTGGTTCGCTCCTGTCAGCTAGGGAGGCTGGCTCACAGGCTTTTGACTCAATGTCAACTGCTTAGCCGACTACTTCCGAATCACCTTCTTCAGGAGGATGGATGTTCTCTCTCTCAATTGCAAGCTCCAAATCTTGAAGAACATCATTCCCAGTTGGAAAGAGAATGAGAATGATGTCTAGAAAAAAAATAGTATATATATGATGAATTGAATAAAAGTTCTAAGGCACTTTCATACTTCAGTTTAAATGACTTAACAACAAACATTATAGCTCTCAAGTTTATAGACTACTTTATTTTACCAAATGGTACATATTAATTAATTCATGAGCTAAAATATCTAATTATGAGTATGTAGACTATATATTCATACATAGACAATTTTAATTGGAAAAGTATATACCTAAGACAATAATTATGAAAGACTCCAAACGAAAAAAAGCCTCAATTCCAAAAAAATTATATTGTCTCAAAATACTGCTTGGTTGCTAATATCAAGTGTTGTTCCGCTGCCAGGTTTTTAAGACATTCATTGTATTGTCTTTGCTTTTCAACCAAGAAGGCGAACGAGTGAAGCAAAAGATAAGTGATACCCCATATAAAAGTCAAGTCGGATATAAAAATGACACAATAATTAAATAAACGAAACAAAAGACAAACACTAAATAGAAACAAGAAATGAACAAAATAGCTATCTATTTCTCATTCGATTTTCACACCGCCTAAAATGTCACTTAGGACTTGTGCACAAAGTTTGCACACTGCTAAGTATATATGCACGATAAATCGAGCGTCTAAAACGATTTTAAGAACCCTAAATTATACATGAACAACGAATTCTCCCGACAACAGTTCGGGTCTAATTTCTCTTCATTTTCTTATAATGAGATATCATTAATATTAATTATTTTCAATTGTATTTAATGTGCATATATTTCAGTAAAAAAAGTTATATAGTTGTCCTTTTTCGATTCGATGCACGTTGGGCGGACAATCCGGAAGTTAGAGCAATGGTCGTGTTTGTATGGAGTGAGGATGTCCATGGGTCTCCTATGTATAGATTGTGCGCCTGCTTGAAGCGTCTCTGTCATCTGTTGTATGATTGGAGTCTTGCTGGTACGACTAACTCCCTTTGGAATATCAAAACTCTCTAGACGGAGATTGAACAAATAAAAATCTCGGCGCCCATCGATTGGGATAAGGTGCGGGATCTCGAAACGGAGCTTAGTCGTCAGTGGGAGTCTGAAGAGATATACTGGCTTCAAAAAGCGAGAGTCCAGTGGCTGAAAAGAGGAGATAGTAATATCTCATATTCCATACAGTCACCAGGGCAAGGAGAAAAAGAAATTTCGTGGCTGGATTGCGGAATGAGGGTGGTGATTGGATCACTGATGAGAAGGGGAAGGCGGATATCTCGATTGATTTTCTCAAGCATCTTTTTACTTCTGAGAATCAGGTTGAGAATATGGTGGTCCGTGTGGCAGATCTTCCTATTTCTCACTCGGTTACCGATGAGATGAATGAGGCCTTAACGGCGGAGCTGCTGGCATCGGAAATTCGACAAACGGTCTTCCCGATCGGGTCCACCCAGGCCCCAGGATCGGATGGGTTTACTGGGAAGTTTTTCCGCACCTTTTGGGGTGTGGTTGGTGAGTCTGTGGTTGAAGCTGTCTGCTCCTTT